GCTCTTGGTGCATAAAGAAGATTTGTAAAGTTGCAAAGAAAGTCTCAAATCCAAAGAGATATTCTTTATAAAAGTTAAACCGCGCCTACCTAAAAAGGCTCGTTCTAACACGCCCCCACATGTCTACGTCACGATGTGGCGCGATGCAACGCAATGCGTAAAAAGATAGTATAAGTCATTATAATCTGTAATGATGTCCCCACTGGATGCAACAAATGCCTCGTTTATAATGGGTTTTAATGTTTTTGTCTCGTCGCTCCGGCCGGACAGGGCATCACAGTATGTGAGGGGCATAACATGTCCGTCACACGCTTGAGGTATTCAGCCAATCACAATGCACTGGATAGCTGGCCAATCAGAGCACACCTCGCTTTTCAGAACGATGAGCTTTGTAAAAATGTACGCGTTTCAAAAAGGCGGAGCATAGAGGAGAAACAATAATGTACAGTATGTGGAAAATAATGTGTTTTTTGAAACTTAAACCGCATAAACATTTCATTACACCAAATACACCAAATAATGTTCTTTTTAGCAGCATCATATGACCCCTTTAATCTCTTTAATTATGTTTTGGATGTGAATTATGATTCTCTCCCCATCCAATCAGAGGAAATATAATTTTGACAAACCAGTCATTGTTCTTGTTGAATACGAATACATTTCAAAAAATTTTTTAAATAAAAGTCAATTTAGTATAAAATCTATCAGTTTCCCACAGTGTAATTATAGTTAAATAAAACAAACTATAAGAAAACCGTTTTGTTACTTGAAACAAATCTTAACTAAAATAAAATAAAAACTTTTACTTCAGCTTTATGATGTACTTATGATGTGTGTACTAAAATAATTAAAACTAAAACTAAAAAATGAATAAAAATGACATGTACATATTTAACAAAACAAAAAAAAATGCTAAAAATGACCAAAACGCACAACAAAATTACTAAAAATAAAAACAATTTCAAAATATGAGCAAATACTACAGTAGCATCTCAATGACACTAAAATAGCACTAAATCAGTATAATAAAAAAAATGTTTGTCTTTATTTTTATTGGTGCTTGAACACCAATTCAGAATATTAGAATGATTTCTAAAGGATCATGTGACAACGAATACTGGATTAATGATGCTGAAAATTCGGCTTTGCCATCACAAGAATAAATCACAATTTAAAATATATTGAAATGGAAAATACTTGCTTTAATTGTAATAACATTTCACAATATTGCCGTTTTTACTGTATTTTTAATCAAATAAATGCAGCCTTGGTCAGCATAAGAGACTTTAAAAAAAAAAATTAAAAAAAAACTATGAACAGAGTATAATAATATAACAATATAGTACTTGTAAAAGATGTATAACCTGAATGCACTGTAAGTCGCTTTGGATAAAAGGGTATGCTAAACGCATAACTTATTATTATTATTATTATTATAGTAAAATGCAAACATTTAATTACCAGTGTTGGGGGTGATTCATTACAAGTAACGCAAGTTACGTAATCAGATTACATTTACATCCCAAGTAACTAGTAAAGTAGCACATTACTTTTAAATTTACAACAAAATATCAGAGTTACTTTTTCAAATAAGTAATGCACGTTACTTTGTTTTCCCATTTATTCACTCACACCTGTCCTGTCACCGTGTTGAGGGAAACTGGGAGTGAGGTGAGGCTTATTCATTTCACT